GTGTGGTTAACTGCAGAAAACAAAATGTCTGGCAGAGGGAGACCCTCTGGTTTTGCTCCCATTGGAGGTTTGGAGATCTAACTTTCTTCCATCTTTTATGGGCAGGTCATACCATAAAACCAGCATCAATCTATGTACTATCGTTGAGTGAGTGCAAACAGAAGAGAAGAGAAACTATTCAGGGACACTGCACACGTGTTTTTGTTGTTAAATTCAACCCATGCTAGCATTATGAATAGGACATATTCTGCAAAGACAGTACTAGCACTTCCCAGTGGAATAGATACATGAACGGAACTGACTCGCACACACAGGTTGAGGACTTCTGTCTGTCCCGGCTACTGCTGGGTGGACACAGCCTGAGACAGCTGGGGTTGGGGAGGATGTGCTGTTAGGGTGCTGTTCTCACACAATATCTCCTTTACCACCACTTCTTTCTTGGAGCTGCTCTGAGCTGTGCTGAAATGGGAACCCACCAAACTCTGTGTGGTCTGGTTCTCCTTCCACACACTTCTCTGCCTCCCTCACTGTGCCCAACCCACACACACAGTCCTGGTTTTTACCTACTCAGACTCTATAAACAGGAGAAATTTAATGATTCCTGGGAGCTCAACATCAAGCCCACTTCCAGCTTGTCCAAGGACTCCTTTCCTTACCTCCATACATCCAACTTCCCTTCCAGGCAGCCTGACTGGAGAGCTTCCAGGGACCCCAACAAGTGAACAGGGCACCTTCTTTGTTGATGGTCTTTCCTCATTGACCCCAATTTCCTATCAGACACCAGAATTTTCCATGACCTGTGCACGTGCGCTCCTGCCACTTTCAGACAGACGTCTCTAATGCCAGCTTCCAGGATTCAGAACAATGCTCTGACCCTCGATCCTCCGTGACCCATCTGCCAGCTGTCAGACAGCTCCGTACTGTCCTTTAACTTCTTGTACCACCCCCTCGAAGACTGCATGTGGCAATCCCCTTTGGGCCCTATTTACTACTCTCTGCACTGGGTTTTTCTTCCCTGCCAAGAATTAAGTCCACAATTACACCCAGCTCCTTCCAGGTGGTTCTGACTCTTCAGAGTGAAGCAGGATGTCGTGGAATCTTGCCTTCTAAAAAACTACAATTCCAACAGAATAAAAAACAACCCACGTACTTGGAGAAAATATTTGCAAAACGCACGTCTGATAAAAGATCGTTATTCAAAATTTATAAAGACTAGTTAAAACTCAGCAACAAGAAAACAAACAGGCTGATTGAAAAATGGGTCCAAGGCCTTGGTGGACACCTACTGAAGTTTGTGTGTGCAAATAAAAAGCTTTGCTGTTAATACACATGGTAACCACCATACATAATACACAGATACAGTCATCCCCCCTTATCCACAGATTCGCTTTCCTCAGTTTGTAACCCACAGTAAAAAGAAAACAAAACAAACAGACAAAAAAATGCAGTTGAAAAATATTAAATGGAAAATTCCATAAATAAAAATTCATAAGTTTTAAACTTCATGCCATTCTGAGTAGTGTGATGAAATCTCACACCGCCTGNGTCATCCCCCCTTATCCACAGATTCGCTTTCCTCAGTTTGTAACCCACAGTAAAAAGAAAAGAAAACAAACAAACAAAAAAACGCAGTTCAAAAATATTAAATGGAAAATTCCATAAATAACAATTCATAAGTTTTAAACTTCATGCCATTCTGAGTAGTGTGATGAAATCTCACACCGCCTGGCTCTGTCCCACCAAGAGCCTGAATTGTCCCTTTGTCCAGCATATCACATAATCGTGAATGTATACGCTACCCACCCACCAGTCACTTAGCAGCTGCTGCAGTATCCCAGTGCTTGTGTTCTTCACGTAACCCTTACTTAATAATGGCTCCAAAGCACAAGAGTAGTGATGCCAGCAGTTCAGAGATGCCAAAGAGAAGCTGTAGAGTGCTTCCAGTTCTCAACTTAATAAGAAAGGAAAAACATAGTATTCTGAGATTGCTAAGGACTATGGTAAAAATTAATCTTCTATTTGTGAAATTGTTAAATCAGGGGGAAAAAACAATGCTGCATAGTACACACAGGGTTTGGTACTATACAGAGTTTCAGGCATCCTGTGGGGGGGTCTTAGAAAGTGTCTCCAGTGGATAAGGGGGGCACTGCTCTGTATAGATGGAGAATAACCATGTGAAAAGCTGCTCCCTGTTACATATCATCAGGAGAATACAAATAAAAATGCCAACGAGACACCCCTACATGCCTATTAGAATGGCCAAAATCCAGAGCACTGACAACACCAAACACTGATGAGGATGTGAGCACCAGAGATGCTCTTTCATTGCTGGTGGAAATGCAAAATGGCACAGCCACTTTGGAAGACAGATTGGCAGTTTCCTACAAAATGAATCACAG